TAAGGATCTGCCCCCCCCCCCTCGGGGCCCCGGGGTCCAGCCACTGGCTTTGGCAGCACTCCCAAGCCTGGGGAGTGATTTTTCCCATGGAGTTTGGTCCTCCGTGGAGACGCCCCTTGCCCGTGTCTGATCACACCTTCTTGGTGGCTTTTCTGCTAGAGAAGGGGAAGTCTGAGCATCCTAACGGAGAGTAGGAGACTGGAGAAGAGGATAAATGTTGGCAAATGAATGCACAGCCAGAAGGAAGCTGATCAAACAAATGAGGAGAGATTTGTTAAGGCCATAAAAATTCCAAGGAGGAGCAGGGTTATCAGTAAGTCTTGTACTGGGCAAACTGGAAATTTTAATAAAGTGTATAAGATGGAAGAGGGATGAGATCCCTGGGTAAATGCAGAGTAGCAGGAAGAGCTACCATCCTTGGAGGGCAGTTGCCACAGTGACCCAGAGGAGGTGCCAAGGATGGGAGCTAGCATTGCTGCCATGCACGCGTTCACCAGCGACTGGGTGGCAAGCTGAGGGACAGATTTTACTGACAATGTGCAGCGGGTCAGGACAGGTCCATACTGCAGAGCTGCTGGAGCTCACTTGGTGCCGAGTGACCCCGCAGAAGACCAGCAGATAAAACACAGCATCAGTGCATGCATCATAGCAGGAAGAACCCAATGTGGACTGTACTTCCCCAGGAGCAGGGCCAGGAAGGAGGCTCTGGAGTCCCTGCAGGCAGGGCTTTAAAAGCAGCAGCTCAACGCTCAGCCACCATCAAAGCACAAATTGGGGAGTCTCTGCTGATGCTTCTGTCCACAGCTGTGTCAGCAGGACCGGTGTGTTCCCTCCTCCAAGGGAGCAGGGGCAGAGGCCCATCTGCCTGGAGATGTGGCAGGAGATGAATGCAATGTGAGATGGAGGGATTTTAGGGCTTATCAGCCTGGAAAAGAGGTGACTGGGGGAAAGGGAGAGAGTCAAATTATATAATGACTCACACGGACATTTTCAAGCACCTCTCCACAACAAAAGGAAATATTCATTCGTCCCATGGGAACTGATGCTCTGGACCCCACTTTTTTTTTTTTTTTCCTACTCAGCTTTCTGCTGTCTTCTAGACTTAAATCAACTCCAGGAGGGGTTAAGTGAGCCCAACATCCCTGCAAGGGCTGAGCCAGGGGTGAGGCAGCCAGGAGGAAGGGATGCAGATGGCCAGCATGGACAGGACCTCTCCATCTTGCAGAAGTCTGCTGAAAGCTGGGTGTATCTAATAGGAGAGGGGACACTGTCCTGCCCTCATGGCCACTTCTGGGCTGGGATCTGAGGCCAGGAAGACCTTTGGGCTGATGCATGCTGCCTGCTCTCCCAATGCTGCGCTCAATATACCTTCTTGTCTTCATCCCTGATTGTGTAGAGGCTGTGCTTGTAGACCCTTTTCTTGGTGCCAGCTCGGGTCAGGGTGGTTTCAGTGAGGTCTGTCAGGTACTTGATATTGCTGTCAGCTTTCTCCAGGTCATCATAGACATCACAGCTCAGAGGGACCAAGATGTGGAGCTTCCAGGTCTCCCTGTATGCCAGCACGTTGGGGTTGGCTCTGCTGAATTCCTCCATTGACTTTTTCACCCCTGGTGGAAGACAGCGTCAGGCAGAGGTGCCTAGCATGAGCACAGCTGCTTTCTACCTTGCTCCCTATTTCCCTGCTAACACTGTAAAAGTGGGAGGATTGTCATTAGGAGCTATTTCTATCTGTAGGCATGATAATGCAGGGAAACAGCTACGTACGTGGCAGGACTATTTTTAGGTACCCAATGTAATAAGACCAGGCAAGCCCATGAGCGACGTTCTGCTTGGACCTCTCGGACATCTCAGATATTTCCACTGCTGAGGGCTTCTGTGGAGGGAAGGAAAGACAGACCAGTGGTGATGAAAGCAGCCACCTGGGCTTTTCTGCAACAGTCTGTTCTCTGCAGGGATCAGAGAGCAGCTGCCCTCTCCAAAGAGATCTGCAGAGTGACCAGCTCTGCTGCCTCCTTCCACCACCATGTTGGGCAGCGAGGCCAAGAGTCCTCGATGGCCCACACAGCCCCTGCAGATGAGGAAGCTGACGCTGGAGTGAGCTGGACACATTTCTGGCTGCATCCTCCACTGGGATTGTGTGTCCCAGTGCAACTTGTGCATCAGGCCAGTACTTCAAGCATGTGGGAGGAGACATCCCAGTGTCTGGTGGGGGATTTCCAGGGCCACTGGTGGCCCTTGCCAGCTCTATGTGTTCATTTAGGTGGAAACAGGTGTTGAAACTCCATAGGCACCTGGCGGCTGCCCTCCCCAAAGCACCTTTCTGTAGCCTGTGTGACCCCACTCCCCTTCCAGCTCTGCCAATGCTGCAGAGGTACCTGGAGCTTGGCTCTGCCACCCCCAGCGCACCTGATAATTAACCCTGTGGAGACCACACAGGTCTACCCTTTCCCCCCAAGCACCAGCTTGATTGACAGATTTAAAAATACCCATTTTTTGTGTCAGCGGGGCTCTGGCTGCAGCAGGGCTGCTGCCAGTGCCCCGGGGTGGCAGTGCTCGTTAAAAGGCAGCCTGCCCCTCCTGCCGGTACGTGTGGCAGCATGAGGCTGAGGAGATCAGCTCTTTGGGGCTGAGCTGACAAGAGTGTTTCTCCCGCTGCAGAGCTGTGTGCGGGTGGGCTGTACGTGCAGGGGCTGCGCAGAGCTGGGCCACGTGCCCTCATGAACGCTCAGGGCTGCCGTGCTCCCCGGGAAGCCTGGCCAGGCTAGAGATATCGGTGCCTTACGTGGAGCCCCAGAGCGAGGATGAGGAGCTGGCACAGGCTGGTCAGGCTGAGGTGCAGGATGAGCGGCTGCCCATCTCCATCGAGAAGAGCCACGTAGGCTGAGCCACAGATGAGCAGCATGAGTGCATGCCAACGCAGGGGGAAGCAGGCGCTCAGGGCCCTCCGGAAGCTGCCATGGTGCCTGGGAGGGAGAGGGAGACACAAGGCAGGCTGGTGGCTGCCTGCCTGCCATCCTCATCTGCAGGCCACAGGGCACTGGCCAGGGGATGCTCCCACCTCCCTGCCAGTGCTGCTGACCACCCAGCACAGTTCGGATCCAGGGAGCCCTGTGAGACCCAGCTCAGTGCACCCTGGGGGACCCAGCCAGGAGAGGGCTTGGGTGTCTTGCAGCACCCATGGGTCTCAGAGGAGAGCAGATGCAATGTTGCCCTAGACAGTGAGGGGAGATCATCTCCAACAGCCCCGTGCCCTCTGGCACTGGGTGGTGGGGAAGGCTGGGGGCTGAGATCTGCTCCCCAGGTAAAGGGCACATGAGGGAGCTACCGCAAAGAGGAGAGGGAGAGGTCCATCGGCATAATGGGGCAGCTGGGCAGGCAGGAGAAGGGAGAGGAGGAGGAGCTGAGAAAGACAGAAGGCTGATGGAGAGCAGCGTGTGCTGCCGGCCACAGCAGAGCATTGCCACAAGAGGGTACGCGTGGGAGTAGTAAGAAGGAGCAGCTCCCTCCCAACACCCAGAGGCTGCTATGCCCTTCTCCCCAGGGCTGCCCCAGGAGCCCTGGAGGCAGCCTCCTCCACCCTGCTCACCTGGATTGGAGGTGGAAGATCTCTTCAGCCAGGTAGCAGGTGCCCTTGAGCAGCACCCCAATCTGCAGTGCCACAAAGTGGGAGGTGATGCTGCGGGCGGTGGGCACGAGGGGCTCCCCGGTGAGGTACAGTGCTGTGGCACACAAAGCCAGGAGCAAGTACATGGCACACTGCGCTCGCCCTCCCCGGGCCTTGGGGATGAGCAAGGTGATGGGGTACATGATTCCCGCGACATCTGCAGCAGAGAGGGGGGGTCAGCAGCAATTGTTGCCCCCTGCACCCACAGCAGCGCAGTGGGGAGTGGAGAAGGGGGATGCACATGCACATCCAGCACTTGCAGCACCCCAAAGCACGCAACAGAGCCGTCCCTTCCTTTGCATGCTGCTGAGAGGCAGCCACTTCTGGGGCCTGTGCATGCTGCACAGGCCACCTTGGGGCTGGCCCCCGTGCCCAAATGGGCTTGGCAAGGCAAAGCCTGGCTGGCCACCCCACTCCAAAATCGATGCCATCCCTACGCCAACCCTCCCTGCTCCACAGCCACGGGGTCATCACTCCTCCTGCCGCACTCACCGGAGCAGTTACGAGCCGTGAGACCGGACGCTGCCTGCGTTTCCTGCACTCTGGTTAATGGGCTCTGTGCTCCAGCCTGGGCAGCTGCGGCTCTTTTTGGAGGCTGCTGCCACAGGCAGAGACCCGGAGCCTCTGCACCGTACAGGCTTCTTCTGCCACGGGTGGAGCTGCAGTTCCTGGCAATGAGAACAATTAAAATGAAAGGAAAGATCGTGGCTGCAGGCAGCTTGCGGAAAGCAGCAGAGCCCTCCCACACAGGACACCCGTGAAGTCTCACAGCCCGCAGGAAATCCGGGTGCTGGCCAGCACTGGCTAGATGTGGCAGGTTTCGATAGTCATGAGCTTACACCTCTGGAAAGCCCCAACATATCTGTCAGGTCATAATGGGGCTGAGCTGAGCTGGAATGAGGAAGGAAACCAGAATTTATTGAGACTGAATTTATTAAGTGCAGCAGGTTTCCAGGGGTGAACCAGAAGCAAATTCCTTCTAGCAGAGAGGGTGACTCACAGCACCCTGGATCCCCCCACCCCACGCAGTTCTGGGAGATGCTGGCTCAGAAGGCAGTACCTGCAGGCATCACGACACAGCAGTGGCTTCCTGCAGCCAGGCTCTTGCTAGCCAGAAAGGCCCTCAAGCCTCTCAGGTCCTGGTCCTAGTGACCACAGACCCAGGGCAGCTGAAGTA